GTGTGCCACCACACCCGGCCAATTTTTAAATTTATTTTAGAGATGAGGTCTTGCCAGGTTGCCCAGGTTGGTCTCAAACCCTTGAGCTCAGGCAGTCCTCTTGCCTCTACTTCCCAAAGTGCTGGGATTATAGGCGTGAGCCAATGTGCCTGACTACAAATAATATATTAAAAAAACAAAAAAATAAAGAAAACATTTGTAATCTTATAGTACAGTACTTTGAAAAGTAGAGTAAACTAACATACGTGATTGAGCATGTGAACACACGTTCACATTTTTGAAAGTTCACAACTTGAAGGTTTGTTTGTAGGGGACTTACTGTACTGAGAATTTGCATAGATGATGTCACCAAGAAGAACTGAGCTAATGCTACAGCTTCCTACTCCTTCCCTCAGAGAACACTTGCAGACCACAAAGCAGCAAGTTAGGGTGCAAGGAGAGAGGCTCCTGTAGGCACCAGTCAGTCCAAAGTTCATTAAGTAGTTTTGGAGTCATCTCATGATATAACCATCCCCAAGGTCTACATCAGACTCAGAAGTGTCACTTTGATCAGATGGAGCCTCCTCAGGCCACAGGCACCCTGAAGGGAGGCTTGGGTAGGCTGGCTGTGTGCCTCCCCCAATGGCCAGTAGAAGGCTTGTTTCTGTTTCATGGGGATCCTCCTCGTTGACCGTCTCTTCTGGGTGAGATGACACCAGAGGGGCTTCTTTTGAGTCGTCGCTATTGTTGAGAACCCTCATAAGCACAGTGTTTAAATCCACATTGAAGACAATTCTGTCACCTGACCCCCCAGTGGAGCTGATGTCCTCCTCGGGAAAGGGGTCTTGGAGTGCACTCGCTCCCCTCTCATTGGACCCATTCATGTGTTCCAATTGCCAGGGGTTGTGCCCTGGCATCACAGGGTGCTCAGCCTCACCCTCTGGCAGGTCAGGCTTCTCGAAGTCTGGATCTACACTCTGGGAGTCTTCAGAGACAGCCGAGGAGGCAGAGGCCTGACTCAGAAGCAAGCCTGTCAGTCCGTGCATGGTATAGCCACCCGCGCTTGCTCTTGGAGCTGCTTCAGTATCACTGTCACTTTCATCATCATAATTATAATCCCACACTTTCTTCTTTCTGTTGATGGAAATGACCTCCACCCTATCCACAGCTTCTGACGGTGGCAGCTCGGGAAATAGCCAGGCTGAAAAGTTATGAAAATTCTTAAGGAAAAAAAAAAAAAAAAGACTCTGCATCAGCTGTGAGTGTTTGCTCTTTATTATTATTTTTTTTTACATAATAAAACTTAATGAACCAGATGTGGTGATGGGTGCCTGTGGTCCAAGCTACTCAGGAGGCTGAAGCTGGAGGATTGCTTGAGCCTGGGACTTTGAGACCGAAGTGTGCTATGATGGTGCCTGTGAATAGCCACTGCACTCCACCCTGGGCAATTTAGCAAGACCCCGTCTCTGAATAAATAAATAAAAATAAAATAAAATTTTTAAAAATTGTAAAGACTTAATGAGATTGTGCAGTGAAGCAGATGATGATGACAACGACAATACTGTCAGTTAACAGTTACATAGTGCTTACCACTTAGTGCCTTATACATAAGTCGCTCTATCCTCATAACTGCTTTATGAGGTAGGATTACTATTCTTATGGCCACTTTACAGATGAGAAAATGAGGGGCACAAAGGGAAGCTGTTCAAGGTTCATGAGTAGTGAGTGGAGGCAGCTGAATTTCAAACCAGACAGGTTGCCTGTAGCAGAGACTGCTCCGACTCACTCCTCCCGACTTCCTCTCCCTTGAGAGATGGGGTCTCACTCTGTTGCCAGGGCTGGAGTGCAATGGTGTGATCATAGCTCACTGTAGCCTCGAATTCCTGGGCTCAAGCGATCCTCCCACCTCAGCCTCCCGAGTAGCTGGGAATACAGGTGTGTATCACCACACCCAGGTAATCTTGCTTGTCAGATTAAATCTACCCTTTTAGGCTGGACAGATTTCAATCCTGGATTGCCAAGACATTCATAAGTGCCAAGGAACCACGTGTGAGAAAAGGCGCCAGGAACCAAATTCCATCGGGGAAACAATTTGAAAGGTCAAGGGTAATAGACACTCCCTGGTCTGGAGGACCTTAATGATACAGATGGCCCCTAAAGGGTCTGTCATGGGAAGAGCAGAGAGAATAGTCTGTTCTATCCCAGCCCTAGGGAGAGAACACCTTCAGGACCCAGCGGGGCAGGGTGAGCTACAGAGAACTTGAGGCAGGCTGAGTTTCACCCCATTGAAGGAGCAACCACAATGGGGCAACCTGCAGGGCGGGTGGGCAGGACACCTGGAATCCTCACTGGCATTGTCCGCCTCTGTACCTTCCTGTGCCTGCAACAGGTCACCCAATGGGACAAACCTGCTCTTTCCGTATTCTACCCAGACCCAGCATTGGGGCACGTTTTTCTACTAGCATGTTCATTTTTTTTCTTATTGATTCACTCTTTCCATATTGATATACTAATGATATGTCAATTATTTATATATATTTTACCCCAGTCTGGTGTTTAACATTTTACTCTCCTTATGATGCCATTTGATGAAAAGAAATTCCTAATCTTTTTTCTTTTTTGAGTCAGGCTCTCACTCTGTTGCCCAGGCTGAAGTGCAGTGACATGATCACGGCTCACCACAGCCTTGACCTCTTGGGCTCAGATGACCCTCCCACCTCAGCCTTCCAAGTACTGGAACTATAGGCGTGCGCCACCACACCCAGCTATAATTTTTAAATTTTTTTTGTAGACACGAGATCTCGCTATGTTTTCCAGGCTGGTCTCTACCTCCTGGGCTCAAGCAATCCTCCCACCTCAGCCTAGAAAATCCTAATCTTCATGAAAGAAAACTTACCAATTGTATTCCTTTTTGGTTTTTGCTTTTTGTATGTGAGAGAATTTTTTCTTACTCCAAAGTCATATAGAATCTCCTATATAGCCTTCTAAAACTTCAGCAGTTTTGTCTTTTGCATGGCAGTCTTTAATTTACCCAAAACTGATTTTTGTGAATGGTGTGAGGGAGAGATCAAATGTCACCTCCCCTCATGTACATGACATTTATTAACCAGCCCATGCTTTTTCCACCAATCTACAATACCCACTCTGTAATTAATCATGTTTCCATATGTGTGGGTGTATTTCTGGGCTCACACTTGACAAGGTCTTTGTTAATGCTTTTCCTTTTTTTTTTGAGTTGGAGTTCCCCTCTGTTTCCCAGGTTGGAGTGTAGTGGCAAGCTCAAAACCACCGCAGCCTCCACCTGCTGGGCTTAGGCAATCCTTCCACCTTAGCCTTCCAAGTAGCTGGAACTACAGGCATGCACCAACACACCCAGCTAAATGTTTTGATTTATTATAGAGATGAGGTCTCGCCAAGTTGCCCAGGCTGGTCTCAAACGCTGGACTCAGGCAATCGTCTCACATCTGCCTCCCCAAATGCTAGGATTACAGGTGTGAGCCACCGCACCCAGCTGTTAATGTTTCTCAATAAGATTTGATAATTCTCTCCATAAATGGCTTGCATAGCTTCTGCTAGATTTAGTCACTGAATGTTCTACAAACATTTTTCAGTATAATTGGGTTTTTTTTTTTTTTTTGAGTCAGAATCTCACATTGTCGCTCAGGCTGGAGTTCAGTGGCACACTCACAGCTACTGCAGTCTCAACTTTTCAAGTGGCTGGAACTACACTCATGTGATACCACACCTGGCTAATTTTTTGATTTATTATAGAGACAAGGTCTTGCCAAGTGTCCCAGGCTGGTCTCGAACGCCTGGGCTCAGGCAATCCTCTTGCCTCTGCCCCCCAAAGTGCTGGGATTACAGGTATGTGCCACTGCGCCCAGCCAGGCTTACTTTCTAATTGTCTAATTTAATGTTGTTAGTGTATATTGATTTTGTGTGTAAAAACTTTGCTAAATATATTACTTCTTCTTCTTTTTTTTTTTTTTTTTGTGTTTG